CCTCGGGTATCTCTTGAATCGTGAACTTCAACAATTTCCCATCTTTATCCGTCTTCTCTATGTGTTTCCAGACTTTAGGTGGCTCGCCCGACGGTCTGAAGCACTGCATCTTGTCCATCTTCTTCTGTAGATCTGCTCTAATGAGTGGTACCTTTACCTAAGATTTATCTTCTGCGTGTAAAATCGTGTCAAAAGACACTTTGTTCAAACGTCGCAAAAACGTACGATCTCTAACATTATAGTGACGCGCCGACCTCTGCCCGTGGCTCATCAGACGGCTACTGTCGATTGAGTGATTTAGCTTTATTAACCATTACGCTCACTGCCCTACTCACGAATAACGGATGTAACATGCAATGCTATCGCAATAATGTAAATATGTTATTCGTCTTCCCTATCTATCTTGCTTGTATATATAAGCTTTTTTTTTATATTCGCCTTATATCTACGAAATTCTGAAAATGTGTTCGTATAAGAGATAAGATGTAAAATTATCGTTATTTTAAAGAAAGGGAAAAATGATTGAATCAACAATTTATATGTAAATTAATAGTAGCACAATTATCACAAATCCTATACAGACGTTTAAAAAAAACATGTGAAGTTTTATTTCTCTTCTCTTTTATTCCTCTTAAACAATCCTATTTAAACATCACTTAAATATCATGAAAAATTTTAATTATTAGCATATACTTAGTGTTTGAACGCTTCACATATCTCATACTTTTAGTATCTTGGTGATACCCGGGCAAACAAAGGCACAAATTATTTAGTGGTGCTGTCATTATTAATTTGTCTAAGAAAATATTTTACATTTATTTTATAATGTTAAATATTTCATATCAGCAACAAACGTGCTGACATTCCGAACTCGGTACTCATTTTTGAAGCGTAAAACTATCGCGCGGCTCTTCATAACCCGCCAAACGGGTATAACTTTGACGTAATCGAATGGCTCATTCCTAAAGGATTTGAAAATCCATAGACGGAAAATACAGGAAAGCTCGTTGTACCCATTGCATTCTTAACACAGCAGTGTCACGAGACGCTCAATTACTCTTACGTGGCGAGTGTGGGAGATGGTTACCCATTACCCCGATGATGTAAGAATCCAACAACGAGGAAGCGCAATCGGACGTATTTTATAAAAGCTTATTATACTTACTAAGACTTTTCCAGAAAATAAATTACATTATGGTAAATTTATTAAAAGGTGAATTAAAAGATTCGCGATAAAAATTATCATTTAAAATATTAATCATTTTAAACTAATTTTTAATTAGAATTTTATGTTTGTATGTTATCATCGTACATAGCAGCATTGCCACGAGTCGTATTCAATAGCTCTTTTATTTGTTTTTGCGCGTGTGTTTTATTTGTAGAGTCCTATGGAATTGACAATCTGAACAGCCTGAGAAAACGTGATGAGTATAATTGATTTTTGTATATAATATATAAAAATTATATATATAAAATATATAATAATATATAAAAAATTTTATCTATTTCTATTTAATCTAATCGTTTATTTAAATGCTTTAAAATAACAACGCGGAGAGTGTCGCATCGAGGGCATCCAATGAAGCTGACAACCCCAGAAAACAGTTTAATTAAGAAGAGAAGAAGGTCTAGGATAGGCATCAGGTACTGACGGAACAACCTTGAGGCGAATATAATTTCTTACCTATACAAAATAATAGTTTTTTCGCAGTTATTTGGAATCGTTTTATCTCGGTAAAAATAATTACAGAAAGAAAAAATTAACTTAAAAATTTTATAAAAGCTTATTCTTAA